AGATCCCCGCTATCTTCTTCCTGCTCTGCGAGCGGTGTCGGCCGCCACGGTGAGTACATCCCCGGGAGAGATCCCCGCTATCTTCTTCCTGCTCTGCGAGCGGTGTCGACCGCCACGGTGAGTACATCCCCGGGGAGAGATCCCCGCTATCTTCTTCCTGCTCTGCGAGCATGTGTCTCTGTTCTCTTGGAGGCTCTGATGCGCGCATGTCTTGTGAGTTGGAATCACTGAACTATTAGGTAGTAGTAGGTATAGCCATGCTTAAATTATATACCTGACTAATAGCACGAAAAACGTCAAAACCATTCTGTTTTTTCAATTAACAAAGCACTCATATCTTCTTAATTTTATATAATTTCTTCTATATTTGGAGTGGGGAATTGAGCAAGGGAACGCCGATAACAAACTTGGATCTCTATTGGAACTTGCTGCCAGTTTCTCGAGCTAAATATCAAGACGACGAAATTACGAAGATGATTACGTATGCGGGACAAGTGCGGAAGTATCCCTTCGCGTTTCTCCCCAATTGCAGCTTGGGAGACAACTTGCCAACTTGACCAACCTGACAGTGACTGACTCAACCTTCCTTCAGCAGCCGTGGTTAACGACTCAACCTTCCTTCTTTCAGCAGACGTCGAGTCCTAAGAAGAGGGAGCTGCCGCTGAAGCCCTCCTCCTCCTCCTCCATCGTCGTCGCGGGGGGAAGGAAGCTCTATGGTAACCGTGCGAGTCCGTCGTCTGCCGTCGCTGTGCGCGGCGGCCTCGGCGCGTTTACGCAGTCCCACGGCACGATCACCGCCTCCGCCCTCGCCACGATGAAACAATCCAAGTGGATCCCTTAGTCAGACTGTGTGAAGGAGGCGTGGATTCCTCAGTCTGTGTGAAGGAGGAGTGGATCCCTTAGTCTGTGTGAAGGAGGCGTGGATTCCTTAGTCTGCATGTAGCAAGAGTGGATCCTTTAGTCTGCATGTAGCAAGAGTGGATCCCTTAGTCTGCATGTAGCAAGAGTGGATCCTTTAGTCTGCATGTAGCAAGAGTGGATCCCTTAGTCTGCATGTAGCAAGAGTGGATTCCTTAGATGCTAACAGGGCCTATAAACTTGTGAGGGTCGTTAGTGCGATGGTAGACGAATCACGTGTGAAATCCCTGCTGGTAGCACCTACCATCATGACAGCATTGTTCGTTACCACACTCCCAACTATGATCTGCTGTTGAATCCTGTTCTTAAGAGCTGGTATTAACTCCTTCCTTAATGATCTCCATTAAAAGGTCACCCCTGGCCCTTGAGTTTTACCATTAACACCCTTCCGAATAGTCTACCAGTAACACTAATCAGCCATGAATATGTTAATAGCTGCCCGTTACGTGATCTGATATATTCACCTAATGTCTATTCGTGTTTATCGAGCTGTCTGTTGAGGTCTGTTTAAATCTGCTAGTAACACTCGTTAATGTTAGCATATCAATTCCCCTCAAGACCCTTCATTGTGAATATCTATGCTCGTAGCATTATCCTGTAGTGAATATGTTTCGTCTCTTGTTCTGTGAAGTCAGAAGCCATGATGTTTTACATCCGTCCAAGTTCGACACTACAGAATATATCTGTGGTGCGTGGCTGCAACGTCTAGTCCGTATGAGTTTTATATATTAAATGTGCTTTCACTGTCTCCTAGCAAGCGTGGCGAATGCTTGTATGTTCGACCCACGATCATTGTCTGCACTTTAAAGATGATGTCAACGTAATGAGACAGACATTTAGAAAGATGTAACTTGGGTTAAGATTCAAAAGTAGGCGTTTACCTTACATTAACAAGACTGTGATATCGTCAGACTAGTCTGTTACCCATTGGTTATGACGAAACGGCCGCCGGCCCATATTTAAACTGTCATATCGTGAAGGTACGAATTATCCCTGCCTTTGTCATAGCTTACAGATACCAATACCCAGCACCCGACATGCCGATGGTCATCATCATACAGTAGTGATGTATGCATATGAATAGAGAGAGTTGTGAAACCCTGTGAATGTTTCACCGGATGTCTCATCCTGTGATGATGGTGTGTCTGTTGAGTAGGTCAGGACTGTTCGTATAGTAAGTGGTAAGGACTGTGTGGAGACGTACAACACCATTACGGTGTTCAGCCCTGCTCTACTGCTATATGTGTTATCTTGTCTATTGATGTACGTGCTCTGGTAGTGGTGGCTAGAGCACGTACATATCACGGGGGCATATCCATCTGCTAGCTATCTCATTGCAGCGCGCTTTGTTTGCTTTTGCTGCCGCACGAGGTCGCCACGCGCGTGTTAATTTGTGTGTAAAGTGAACGTGATTACGTGCCGTGATGCGTGCGCGGTACCGTCCGTCATTGCTTTGTCTATCGATTAAAATTTGTTCAGGCGTGACAGTTAAACACGAGCGCAATGTCACCGCGGGCATGGAAACAGCTGGTTTTTACGACTTTAACCTAGACTGACAACGTGAGTATATGAGAAGCCGTATTGGTGCTTGGCTTCAGGGATCCTTGGAACCAGTCTAACTTCAACGTGCGCCTCTGGAGGACCGCACGCCCGCGCGGTTCTTATTTCACGCGCTAACAAGTTTCTGATTGAGGCTGATGTTTTCCAATTTCCGAACGACCAAAGAGTAATTAATTTTCAAGTTGATTGCTGCGATGTAAATTATGCATTATTGTCTTTAGTAGTGCATGCTATCGTGTGTTGTAGTAGCTGTTGTTGTTAGTGGTAGTTGTTAGTCGTTGATGTTTTTGGTGGTGGTGCTGGTGCTGCTGCTGCTAGTAGTAGTGGTGGTGGTAGTGGGAGGGTTGGCTGCTGGTGCATCTTCCCCGAAACAGAGAGTGAATCAAATGCGAATCCAAACGTGAACGATGAAGGTCGGACGGATAAGTTTGTGAGTGATCTGTGAGCTCCTGATATATATATATATATATATATATATATAGTGACGTGTATTTAGCATCGGCTGACTAGTCTACTAGGATGTAACTGATACCACAGAACGAATCATTCACCTGTGAAATGTATCATTCTCCTGCCTGGTGTATCGTTCTCCTGCCTGGTGTATCATTCTCCTGCCTGGTGTATCATTCTCCTTACCTGGTGTATCATTCTCCTGCCTGGTGTATCGTTCTGCTGCCTGGTGTATCGTTCTGCTGCCTGGTGTATCATTCTCCTGCCTGGTGTATCATTCTCCTGCCTGGTGTATCGTTCTGCTGCCTGGTGTATCGTTCTGCTGCCTGGTGTATCATTCTCCTGCCTGGTGTATCATTCTCCTGCCTGGTGTATCATTCTCCTGCTTGGTGTATCGTTCTGCTGCATGGTGTATCGTTCTGCTGCCTGGTGTATCATTCTCCTGCCTGGTGTATCATTCTCCTGCCTGGTGTATCATTCTCCCGCCTGGTGTATCATTCTCCTGCCTGGTGTATCATTCTCCCGCCTGGTGTATCATTCTCCCGC